CTCTTGTCTGTTACTTCAGTTGATTTATTCTGTGCTGTCATGGTACAACGCTTGTGTTTCAGGTACTGTAGTCAATTATAGGTGTATAAATTCTATTTGACTAGTTCAGTGGTGTTTGTTGACGTGAAGTACTGCTTCTGGGGGTTTTGATAGAAGCCTGGCAAGTGATACATATTTTTTTCCAGCCTTCTTCCTTAGGAGGTGGCAGCTGATCTGCGCTGTGCTTGTAACAGGATCTTCTGCATGAAGCACAAACAAATTCAAAAGTTGCTTCGCCTCCACAAGGTGTCTGTGGTGTAACTGCCTTTTGTGTTAAGCATGGTGGTCATGTCACATGGCTTGCATCCCACAGGTGATACTTCTTAAGATTATCAAAAAAAAAAAAAGGGCAGTTGTTGCTGGTTTTCTGGAAGTTGCAGCAGTGGGCATCTTCCTCTCATGTGAGATCGTCATGTGCTTGCACTCAACGTGATTTCATGGAGTTAATGGCAAGCATATGTCTCAAAGTGCTATAAAAAAAGATAAATTCTACAGTCCTTAAAACAAAAGAAATGTCATATTTTGTGCTTATGTCAGTTATTTATTTTTATGTTCTACTTACTCCAAACTTTTTCTGTTTTAGAATGGTGTAGTTACGCATTTATATCAGTTCATATCTTGCTCCTTGTGGCATTCACTGTTAATCCTTTCCTTAAAACAGTGTATTTAACTCTGGAAGTGCAAGAGAAATAGGGACTAATGTTCACTGACATTTCGCTGTTTCATCTGGGTGGAAAGCACTGTGCTGTTGCAGTAAGTGACAGGTTTGAATGTCAAATCAGCTGCAGCAGATCCAGTGGATTGAGGCTGGATCCTGACAAGGACTTTGGTGGAGGATTCTGCTGTCTTTGGTTTGCTGGACTGTAACCCAAAGTGGTAAGAATATGGGTTTGCCATCTCTTGGTTTTGGAAGGTAGTATATGGTTGAGATAAAAGTACAGCTTCTTTAAGACTATTGGAAATGAATAGCTTTCATGATTAAATTTAATGTAAAGGTTCTGCAGTGATATCCATTCTAATTGTTAGTGTCTTCTCATCGGCTGACGAAAGTACAGCATAGAGAGTCACATTTCCTTGGAATGTAATTGTTGTTCAGTTAGATTAATGATTTTTCAACTTCATTCACATATTGCTTGAAAAAAATCTTAGTCTTGTGAACCTCCCTGAAATTGTCAGCAAACCCCAAGTCCTGTCTTGGCTGGAGCTTGGAATAAAGTTCTAGTGTTTTTCAAAGTTAATTAAAAAACCATGGCTTTGGAAATGAAAAATCCTATAAACTGACGTTTTGGCTTCTTACCATGACCCACTTTTCCCTTCCTTCCTCCCTCCCTCTGTTTCAAAGGGATTGTGTCTTTGATTCTTGATACTTTCATTCATATTTTAGCCACTCACACTAGTTCAAGTGCACGTATTTTCTGGGTGAGGTCTTGGAATTCTTGAGGAATTTGGGCTTATTTTAAAAATTAGCTTGTGTATTTTGTTAATGGATATAAAATGCTGGCTGCATCTGTTTGGTGGAATATATTAAGAAATGGCAGTTACGACTTTGTGCTGTATTCACAGCTTTGTTGAGTAATTACTGCTAACATCTGCATGCTTTACTTGGGTTTTAGCTGCGCTGCTCTGAGTGTGTTTCTGTAATCTTCCTCCTTCTGAGGGATATGCGAGAGAGAACAATCACCCAAGTGGTTGCTATAGCATTTCATTAAGGAGCCTTTTCCACTGAGTTGGGAAAGGGCTCCTTTCCCACTTGGCAGCCTAGCACGAATAAAAGAGCTCCTGTCAGCTCTTTTCCCTGTGTTATCATATGCCCTTCAGCTTTTGACTGCAGACTTGCAGCTTTGCCTGGATTGCCATCATTCTGAGGGTGTTCTTTCGCTTAATGGGTCTGCTTGTTCTCAACTACACCGGGAGTGAAAAGCTTCCTTATAATTGCCTTGCTTGCTCAAAGCAGTCTGGCTGGGAATGTCCAAAGGTCTATAAATATTGTGACTTAGAAGTGCTCCTCAGCTGACTGGCCAAAATGTGTGAGCAATTGAGTAGCATCCCGGGAAGACTTCAAATAAGACTGTCACAGAATTAGTAAGGAATTAATAGTTAAGAAATATATTGATATTCTAATCAATACTCTGAGCATAAGTGAATTCTGAAGTATTTTCCTTTTGCATTCCTTTCTTCATGGGATCTCAAAAGCATTTTAGGAAAAACTGAGTTATATCCCGGGAAGTACTTATTTTTAATTACCACACTAGGAAATTGCTATGATAGAAAGATTTATGCAAAAACTATCAGTGAATCAATGCTGGGAAAAATATCCAGATTTTGTCCTGTATGTAAATGTGGCTTTTTTTTTTTTTTTTCCTGCAAACATTTAGGCCTTGCTGAGCGACTGCCATTTTTTCTTCATTGCATCAAGTGGTTGTTTTCCCTGTCACTGTCTCGCCTGGCTGTCTGAATTGAACAGCTTGCAGGCTGCAGCGTGGGGCCTGAGGGTATCGGTCAGCATGAAAATGTTTTGGTGCAGCCTCCTGTCCCGTGCTTTGCAGAGGTCAGCGATTCCACAAGCCAGAGACCGGGGAAGAGCTTCGCTAAAGATCTGTGCATGCGTACTTGTTTTCTTCATATTTATGTAGATGTTAAACGTGGTAGGGAATCTGGCTGGGGTGTGGTGGTTGGGTTTCAGATTTAAGTGGGAGACGAAATAGATGAGTTTTCTTCATATTGCTCATTCATGACAGTGCTACTCCACAGAGATTAACAAAAAGTTAATACCTGCTGATCCTTTAAAGCTTTCTATATATAGGCTCTTTCATTCCTTGTAGTCTTTTAGGATTTGAAGTACAGCTATTTTGGAAGGACTTCTTTCTGCTCTTCAAAATCCCCAATTTTAGTTTCAGATCTGACTCTCAGTTCTGTAATATACTTTTCCACCCTCTTTAAAGGAAGTTGCTCATTATGTTAGGCTACCTGGTAGACAGGGGTTTGCCTGCAGGCTGCCTGGGCCATCGGGTATGGCTAGTGGCTAGTGACTTGGAAGCCTGTATTGGGCTGTGCCGGGCTGTACATTATTGAGCTTTTCCGTACTCTATTTTTTCCCTTCCTGGTCACAGAGTGGTTTGTGTTCAACTCCCAAGAGGTTTTCAGGAAACGTAAGCTAATGTTTAAATAGTTTTGGGATAGATGCTATGGGAAATGACAATAATGCTTTCTGGTTATGGGCATAAAGACTGAGAACCTGCATGTTCCTATTCTGCACTGAGAACCAATGCTGACCTTGCTGGCCAAGATGTGGCAATGAGAGATACACGTGTGAAGGATTCGGTGACGCTGTTCCAGTGTGCTCTTATGTGTGCATAAAATATTCAAAGCTAGGTACAATGTATTTGTAGATCAGTTGCATGTCATGTAAGTCATTCTTTCAGCATCTCTGATCAAGTGTGTGTTTTCTACTGTCAGAAGTTTTTTTTAGTTTAAACTCAAGAGTTTAAATATCCCGTGGGAGTTGTCTGGACCTGAATCACTCTCAGGCAATGAGAATCCCAAATCTTCTGCTTCCTGGGAGAAGTCACCTGGACTCTACATTGTTAAGCATTTGGGGGCAATGCCATCTCCAGTTTTGGCAGATGTGATCCACTCGCCCATATCCAGGAGGACAGATGGGTATCTCTGTAGAGGAAAGGGTTTTTTGGTGTTCAAGATGCCCTCCCTTAACATGAAAATTCCCATTGCAAAGATAGTATTTCTACCCCAAATGCAGGCATTTAGGAATATCTTAAATTTCTTCAAGTAAATTCATTTGCCAGCTTTCTTTCATCAGACCTTCTGAGTTATGTTATGCTGGAGAGCAGGGCTGCTGTTTGAGGGACCTCAATAGGCTGCAGGAATGGGGCAGACAGGAGCTCCGTGAAGGTCAACCAAGACTTTTGCTAAAAGTCTCAAAATAACAAGTGTGGTTCCACCTGAGCTCACCTGTGCCCTGGAGGAGCTGGCTTTTATCCCTCCGTAAGTGTGAGGTTTGAGGGAAAAGCCAAATAATTATTCTGCTTATATAGAAGCTGTTAAACCAGTGAAGCTGCTGCTGCTCTGAATTATGTGTATTCACCGTGCGTCCTGATGATGGATTCTAATTCTGGTATCGCTAGACTCTAAATGATAGCAGTGTAAATTGTTGTTACATGACTGCTGCTTGGGGTATGAAGTCCCTGCATTAAAATTCAATTGCTGCCTTTCCTCGCCTGGATCATTGCAGTGTCTCTTTGCACTACAGCCCTTGTACAATTTCTTTTTATTGTCAGCTGCTATTTATTAAAAATAACATTCTCTGCTTCTAGCAGCAAACTTCTATGACTTTAAGCATGAGTCTTACTCTAGGACATTGTAAAAGACCAATGAATGGTTGGGATAATATACAAAATTTAGTATAAAGGGGAGAAATGTTAATTAAAGGCAGGCCAGTAGACTTCTATGTTGAAAGTATCTTTTTGGTGGAAGGTAATGGTATTCAGGCAGGATTTTTCTTTGGAACTAGGTAATCTGTTTCTGACCTGGTTCCTCTGGCGGTTTATTTATTTATATTGAATGTGAAATGCCCTGGTACATGTGTGGCTTTCTAAAGAGAGGTTATTCCTCTGCTTTTAAATTTTCATTATTTCTGTAGCAGATACCTTCATTACTTAAATCATAATTAATTATGAACTGGAAGAGTCTCTGACTGAGCTAAGCCTACTTCTAAAGTAAAATCTGTAAAGATATTTTTAAATCATGCATTTGCCACATCCCTCCCACAAGCACAGACGTTATTGTTTGGAAAGAAATGAAGGACCAATATTTAAATGTAAACATTGTGACATTTGGCTCTCTGAATTACTGAGAAATTCATACAAATAACTGTTGCTTATCAAAATGTGTAAATGGCAAAATCGCTCATCTAAGTCGTGAACCACGGAGGGGGTGTCCTTGCCATGGTTGGGGAGGACGGCAAGGGTTACAGCCAGGAGTACCTGCACCCCGTACAAGACTTGTGCTGTGTCTCTTCAGGCGTGAGGGCTTTGTGGGTGCACATCTGCAGTGACATCTGTGTACAGTGTGCCAAAAAGAAGAGTAACTCATAGGATATTCGTCAGTCGCCTTAAATTTGTGGGCTATTAATAGCGTTTGACATAGTTTTTTCTAGACACGTAATGAATGGGTGATCTCCGACTTCCCATCGAGGTAAGTGATTAGTGTATGTTCTAGGAATGGTGGAACTCAGGTTTTGTTCAGACCCCTAGGTACACAGTCTCCATTGAACACCTTTTTTTCACAAATCTTTGAAACTAGAGCTCTGAACTCAACAGTGTAATTGCGAGAAGGGAAACCACTGAAGAAACGTCTCGGTGTACTTTTGGTTTTGTAGTAGAGTTGTGATGTTTCTTGTTAATGAGTAGTTTCGTCAGAATGAAGTGCTTACCTAAATAGCGTGTGCGTGTGTGAGACTTGGTGCTTGCAAATGATGAATTCTGCTGCTTCTCCCGCCAACAAAACTGGTAAATGAGCACAAATTTTTGTTTGTTTTCCTCAGGCAAAATACATCTCCCAGTGCATCGATGAGATCAAGCAGGAGCTGAAGCAGGATAACATTGCCGTGAAAGCAAATGCAGTCTGCAAACTTACATATGTAAGTGCCTTGCTGGGATATAAAGTAATCGCATCTTTACTTTTTTCTTTCTTGCTGACTAGGAGCTAGTCTTTGGTCTGAATGCCTGCTTTTCTCAGACTGCAGTTTCTTAGACTGTTGTAAGTGCAGGCTGCAGGTGAAAACGCTCCCACGCGTGTCTGACATCAGAGGCTGCATATTCCCATTCTGTTCATTGTGCTGGTACTAGCATTGGTACAATTTTATTTTAGTGAGATAGGTCAGGAAGCTGATCTGATTTAAAACTAATCCAATTTTAAAAGTTGTTTTCAACTGAATTGTTTCTTATCACACAGTGGCATGAGCACTTGAAACTGGTGTTTGTTTCTCTTTGTGCAGTCCTTTGTCAAGGAGAGGAGGGGAATACTGTTAAAGAACTATTTTTGTGGTTCTGTTCTGGTTTTTATTTTAAAAAAAAAATCCATGGAAAAAACCCTTCACAATGATGCTTATGTAACTGCATAGGTAGTACCTGGAATAAATGCAAACTATTTAAAACTTGCTTCTGGTGGAACTTCGAGGCTTCTTTCACTTACTGCAAGTGGTGTAGAATGTAACATTACTCAAACTGGAGATGTCTTATAGTATATTACTTTGGGGCTCTTGTTCCAGCTTCAATTTTCTGAGGTATCTTTACCTATTTTGAGTCTCTCATTTCAGAAGTTTGTTATCTTGGCTTCTCTGCTCACAGTTACAGATGCTGGGCTACGACATCAGTTGGGCTGCTTTCAATATTATTGAAGTCATGAGTGCATCAAAGTTTACATTCAAAGTGAGTTCTCTATGTAACTACAACTGTACTAGCCAAGCTGTTTCATTACTGTATTTAATGAATGCATTGGTACGTCATCTTCTTTTGGTTTGCTTTCTTCAATACAGAAAGGAAGTAGACTGTATTTGTTTCTAGTATATGGATAATACTTGACCTGCTAGTGTAGGCTTTTTCCACCAGATGTTTGACAATAGCTGTCAAATATCTTTTGTGAAAAAATAGGGTAATTTTTTATGTGAAGACCACCTAAGATTCCTAGTAGCAGCCATATTTGGCTTTTTAATTTTTCTTGAAAGGTCTTGTTCATGCTCTATGTTGCAGACCTTTTTTGCCAAATGGGGCAGAATATTACCTCGTGAGGAATAGTTTCCAAATTGGGCTTTAGTACCTGAAAGTCGGGAGTCAAGGAATGTTATTCTTGCTTTGTACTAAATGCAACACAGACAAAATATATGTAATATTCTCCATTTCTCCTACTGACAATCCTGCCTTATTTCTACATCTTTGTGGTCATTGAACCTGCATGTTCCAACAAAGTAGAGGTGAAGCTAGTTTAATATCCTTAAGATAAATGTATTATCCCTGGAGATATTACTTGTTTGAGATTAGAAAAGGGGATTTATATTGGGAAAGAATAGAGAACCCTGTCATATCTCTTCTGCTATGCAAACCTCCTGTCTAATTGTTCATCTTTAATATTGCTCATGAAGCTACCACTTGTTGTTCATCTAAACATTGTCTAAACATACTTTTAATTTTTTTTTCTCCTTGCCTTTTTACAGAGAATCGGTTACCTAGCTGCCTCTCAGTGCTTTCATGAAGGGACTGATGTAATTATGTTGACTACTAATCAGATCCGAAAGGTAAACTTTTGACTTCAGTTCTTAATTTTTTTTCTTGCAATGTCTCCCTGCTTGTATTTTCAAATCTGTATGAAGTATTTGCCTTTTAGGAATCTAAAGGTGTGTAAGTAGAATTCTGTCATTCTCTCTGTCGCTACTCTCATTCCACAAGCTGAAGGATTAATGAAATACTCAGGAGCTGTTCACAGGCTTCTCTCGTGCTGTCTCATACCAGCTCTCTATGTTTATTCATCACAGAATGTGAATGGTGACAACAGTAACCTTTGTTAATATTTCTAGTCTCTTAGGCAGCCCTTCTAAGAATGTAATGGGTAAGAAAAATGTCCCCATTCCTGAAGTAAAATCAGCAGTCACCTGGCTCCACAAAATTTCTATTTGTGAGGGCCTGTTTTCTTATGGTAATAACAGATCAGGCTTTTGACTTGTTTGGCATAATTGTGTGTAAAAATGGTGAAGAGTATATGTAAAGTTGTGTTCTGTATTAATGTACCGAAGTGTGTTGTATTCATTTTCATACAGCTTTATCACTTGAATTTTTTCAGTCATTGAGTTGCAGGATTATTTTCCTATTCTTCAGATTACAGATATATTTTTGAAGCTCTTAAGTTTAATTTTTTAAAGTATCACTGCTTTAAAACTTGACTGATCAGTACAAGATGTGCCTACATTTTTACCATCTAAGTAGCTAAAATCTTTTACTTGCTTAAAAAAGATCAGTGGGATGTTATCCAGTATCTTTCCTAAAGAACTAGCGCTTTTCCCTTTATCTTTTAAACTGTTCTGTTCTGACAAGTGCATATTTTTAATAATGTCCATCCATTTTCTTTATTACGGAGATTTCATTATACTGAATTTCAGTCACTTTCTAGGCTATTCCTTCCTTTTTGTGCCTGAGTTTTTACTTAAAGGCATAAATAAAGGTGCTTTTTCATGTTTCATTGATCTAGCAACTTTGTATTTTAAGAGGTTATTAGTTCTCAAAATACATTAAAGCCAGAATGAATTGCAAAGTTTTGTTGCTCCTTAAGAAATAGATTTCATTATTCTTAAAGGACAATCTAATTTCCTACCACCTGCAAAAGGTTTTAAAATGAGATGCAAATGGCACAGAACCCTGAAGGCCTGGCTATGTTTAGCTCTCTTACAGCAGCCTCTCTGTACACGTGAATCTGGACGGTTAATTCCAGTAGTCCATGTGGGAACGCTCTGTGCCGTTCCCTTCGTGTAACTGCAGTTAAGGAGTGATCCTGTGCTCTGCATTCAATGAGGTCTGGTTTTATAATCTATATTTGAACGTACTCAGATATGCATATTAATATTGTTAAGAGTCTGAAGCTTGGAAATACCTGAAGGGCTGTGTAGGACTATGTCGGATACTGACTACAAATAAGTCCAAGGAAACTTGACCAATAAAATGTATTCTACACCCTAGCTTGTGTTACGTCTTTAGGGACTGAAAGTTATGGTGCTGCCATCAGCTTGGAAGGAAAGTAATCTCATTTCGCTAATACAGAGATTAAGCTAGGGCACTGTTAAGCACTCAGCAAGAGTGCCTGTTCCTAGTGAAGCTGGTAACAGTTGGGCTTTGACTTAGCAGGTTAGTATTTAATACCAGTTTTTTAGGAGTTTAAACATGTTTGTCATTGTGTCATGAGTTTTTAAAAATTATTCGTCATTCCTAAAATACCACCAATGTATGATATCTCTAATTGCTTTTATGTTGTAGTCATCCATCTATTGTTTAATTATGATTCCTCATGCCCATTATTAAACCCTAGGCTATAGCTGTATTTTAGCACGTGTTGGAGGGTATTTCTGTTAATAGTTGATATAAATATTCCCATGAAGTAGAAGCTCTGCTTCGTTTGTGTTGAGTGAATAAAATTCACTGAGAAAATTGTTTCTCAACATCCTGTGTGATCTTAAATTGTTGAGCCTGTTTTTCCTTTTTTAGGATCTGAGTAGCCCTAACCAGTATGATACTGGAGTTGCACTGACTGGCTTGTCCTGTTTTGTTACTCCAGATCTTGCCAGGGACTTGGCAAATGACATCATGACACTGGTGAGTTGATACGATTGAAGTAACTTTTCCCTGTAATTAAAGAATGTTAAATTGCTCAAATCTGGTAAATATCTGTTAAATTTAGAACTGTTACATGTGAAAACTGACTCTATGTTCTTGTGGGGTTTTTAGAGAGCCTTTACAGACCGTAGTTAGCTCAAGAGGATTAGCTTGAATATTTCTGTTAGTTTTGGTGATAAATGACAGTATTTTGCTCTCCCCTCGAAGCTGAGTTTTTGAAAAGTAGTTGAGTCTCCCAGAAGGACCTTGAGAAGAACTCTGGAAACACAAATTTGCTAAAAGCCTGATTGCAGTTGTTTCATTAACAGATGTCTCATACAAAGCCTTATATCAGGAAGAAGGCAGTGTTAATCATGTACAAAGTTTTTTTGAAATACCCAGAGTCCCTCCGTCCTGCATTTCCTCGCCTTAAAGAGAAACTTGAAGATCCAGATCCTGGTGAGTGGATTTTAGTAAATTACTTCTCCTCCAAAACATCTAGGTATACGTGCTTTTAGAGCTTGTGGAGAGAAGAATACATGAAAAATGCTGTAATCACCTTTTGGGTACTGATTCGCCTGTTTAATAGGTAGATGAGCATATGAGAGTTTTGACAGATGTTGCCATACTAAAAATACATTCTTTAAAATGTCCAATTCTTACTTCAAACCCAAAGCTATTAAAACAATATCAGTGGATTAAACCTTCATGGGACAAAGCTACTTAAGGATTCCTGGTTTGTTGCTTACTTAGCTTGGCTATTGAAAATATTTCGGTTGACTTCAGGGTTTGGGTTTTTGTTGTTGTTGTTTCCTGTGCTCTTTTACAAAGCTGCTTTGTTGTGCAGTGGATGTACTTAAAATAATTTCACATCACTTAGGTTTTTTTTTTTTTCTATTTTTTAAATTTAAACTTTGAGTCCAGACTGCTGTTTGGGCCATTCAGTACTGTGTCAGTGCAATTCAGCTGCAGCACAGGAGATTTGCAATTGCTCTGTATCATTCACACTTCTACTCAGTCTTCCTGGAAGGTGCTGGTCTTCCCTCACTAAACCAAAACACTGTACACTTGTTTCAAGAATTCTTTGTGTGATGCAGTTCTGTGATCTCTAGTTGATTTGCATGTGTGTTTAGAGGGAGAAATTTAATTGCATGTGCTGGTCTAATTTGGTGTGGGCATGTAAGATGCATCTTCCAGGGACAGTGTTTTTAAAGAAAGCAAAGCACACACACCCCTCACCTGCAAACAGAGGAAGAAAACACCTGTTATGCTTTATGGAGAAAAGGACTGTTCTCTACTAGAAAGCACAGACTATCTAGATTAAAAGGTTCCAAATTGAGAACGATCAATTTAGAGGCTGAGCAATTAGAAGGGAATGAACTTGTCCTGTCAGATTGTTTAAGGATTCATTATTTTTGTGTTATATTTAAACATGTCTAAATAATACATTTCAAAGAAGCAAGAGTGTTTGGAAACTTTATGGTGGGTAGGATTATTGATTATTATGTTGTCTGTGTCGCACAAACAAGCTATCCACAGTAAAGGGAGAAGGAGGCTGGCTGTGTCCTGTTCTTTCTAATACTGGACCCAAAGCGGATACCCAGCCTGCTGATATATTAGAAAATAGCCAACATTAAATAAAATCCTTTCTCAGTTTGTTTTTGCATTCTCGTGTTTAGTTGGTAATGAGGCTGAACCATTCCTCTTGACACACAAGTCTGAATCTTTAGCTGCTTTTGTTCTGGGGGTTCTGCACCAGAAACTTCAATTACAATTAAAGCGTTGATGAGATTTCTGCTTTTCCCACTTCTTTTTCCCAGGTGTGCAGTCTGCTGCAGTAAATGTTATTTGTGAGCTGGCTCGACGCAATCCCAAAAACTACCTTTCCCTTGCTCCACTCTTTTTCAAGTTGATGACGTCGTCAACCAATAATTGGGTTCTCATTAAAATTATAAAACTGGCAAGTATTCTGGATCTATGTTTACAGGATTGGGGTTCTCATTAAAATACCTTGGGTGAGAAAACAGATTTCTTGCTTGGAGGTATAGTTACCATTAAATCCGAATAAAAAGAAACCAGGAATATCTTCTAGTGTTTGTGAACATAACCGAAGAGAGAAAAATATTTTAATATAGCTTCGTTTAAATATAATGAGCTGCAATTTAAATAATGTTTTTATACTGTGTAAAAGCAGCTATTAAATCACTTTCTTGTCTGCGCTTCTTTTTTCATAGTTTGGTGCTCTTACTCCATTAGAACCTAGGCTGGGAAAGAAACTGATTGAGCCTCTGACCAACCTCATCCATAGGTATGTGTGACAAGTGTTACTTTGTTCATTCAGGATTGGTGAAGTGCCTGTTAGGTAGGTCAGTAGCTAGGTCTGTGGATGCATTTCTGAACTTTTTCTTGAGTCTCGATATATCGGCTTCAAGTATCAAAAGGTAATCACATCAGGACTATTTCTGAAAAACCTGAGTGAGATAAAATACCTTAAAGCAAAGTCTTTGGGTGTCTGACTGTCAGAATTAATTTCTCCAAAGTATACTTGAAACTTGGAACAATTTGCTTTCCTTTCACTTCGTTATAAGCCAGAGATGGCTATGGAGAACATGTGAAAACTCTGCCTTAAATATTTGCCTCTTCTGTTCACCTACACACATTTGGCTCTTGACTTTTTTGAAAGTGCCTTACCCACCAAAGCAGCATGATAAGGAGTATATTAAAGTTGTTTCTCATGCCTTTGTCAGCCCAGACATGTTTTGGAAGAGGTTGCTTTAATATATGTCCTAAATACAGATTAGATAAATGTGAAGATATTTCCTTGTCCCTTGTTAAAGCTGGTTTGTAGTGTTGTTTTGGATTTAATTCTGAACTGAAATCAGAAAGTAGATATTTTGGAGGGAATACATGTATTTTCCCAGTTATTAAAAAAAAAGTGTGATCTTATGCATGAGTTGTTAAGTTAAAAGGTTTGTTTCTCTTCATGTGGCAGAGCAAGAAGATAAATGGGAATGAGCAAACTTTAAACAGATATCTGTGTAGCCATGAGAGCAGCTCTAGCCAACCAATTTCTGTCCATCCTCCTAGTATACCTTTGAGGCTGGTTCAGAGCAGACGAGCCAGCAGCCTTGCATCCAAATACCTAAAAAGGGTTTTTGCAGCAGTAACAAATAGATACAAATTCACCAGAAACAGTACTTCGCCAGAAAAAGCAGGAAGATGGACAGTATGTCTTCAATCCTGCCTCTGCCTCCTCTCCCCAACTCCCACATTAGTCATTCATTTTATTATTTGTGAGGACTTAATCCTGTTCGGTTTGGTCTCCATTCAGTCACTTTGGATCTCATATCACTTACGCATAAGGCAAACCACCCTGCCATCCACCACGAAGTGCATAGGGAGCAAAAATGATTGTTTGGTTCTGAGCGTACTAGAGTCACGTATATGGTGTGCTGAGTGACCTTCACGCTATCGCTTCTGACTGCTGCCTGCAGAGTTGTTTGCTCATTACCTTTGCAGACCTTGTTTCTGGAGTCTGCTCCTTTGTTATTTGTGAGGTTTGCTGCGTTTCCCTCTTGTGTAGATCAGGATTTGTAGGTACCTTTGAAATCCTCAGAATTTCTCTATGTGTGCACTGTATGTGTGTTCAGCTGGCAAAAGTTGTCTTGAATTTAAGTTTGGGGGGAAATCAGACATTGAAAATGGGTTGCTCGCTCACAGGGATGAGCAAGTGTGTACCTGCACGCCAGAACAGTCTGGTGCTTGTGCATGACTTGTTCGCTTTGGAGAAAGGGACTTGAGGTTCTCCATCTGCCTGCCTTATCGTGAATTTTTGACCTTGAGCGGAGGATTTGATTTGATCCTTGGACAAGATTGCTTCAGTGCTCTGTAACTGGTACTGAGGTTTTGAGTAACTGCTTCCTTCCTCATTCCTTGTGTTACAGTGCTGTTACTTGCTTCTTTTCAGAGAAGTTTTTTTTTTTTTTAAACATACAGTAGCCCTTCCTCCCCCCAACAGTTTTTAAGTGAGAATCATTTCATCTAGTTTGAAGGTATATGGAACAGAATACTGGCAATTTCTTGTGTAATTAAAGGTGTTAACTAGCTCCAAGATATTGCTGACAACTCTTCAAAATGTGCCGGTTTTATTCCTTATTTAAAATACTTTATTTCTGTTTCAGCACCTCTGCCATGTCTCTCTTATATGAATGTGTGAACACAGTAATAGCAGGTGAGAACTGAAATTTGTAACCTAGAAAAAAACATTATGAACTTTGTCATCAATTAACACCACCTGTAAATCTTTTTTTAACTTAATGTATTTTATAACTGAAATAAGTTGCCTGGCAAACTTTTGATTTGTGTTACTGTGTAACTGTAACTGAAATCCTTTGTTGTCAGTCGATGAGGCTAAGTTACTACAGCTGTGTTGTATTTGCTAAAGGCTGAAATGAAGTACAAACAATGAGTGATTGTTTATATGCAAGCTCCTAAATGTTGCTAGAACTCCGAAATATACCAGCAGCAATAGAATTTAAAAAGACTGGTGCCTCATGGAAACTTTGACAAAGTTTTCTTATGTGATGAAGGAGCAGACTTATTTTTTAATTCTACAATTTCACAGCTTAAAAACTTGGTGTAATTCCTTAAAGGAGGTAATTGGAATCATTGATTTACAGTTTCAGTTTCTGGGGAGGGGATGTGAACTCCTTAACGGGGATGACGAGAGAAACAAAGGCAAAAAGGGATAACAGTATTCCAGCTCAGACTTGGCATTTTCCTGTCATAGTGTGGAAGTAGAGAGAGTTATTGAAATCCACAGTTTGGCCACAAGCCTGTCTCTTGTGGGTAGTTTGGGTAATGATGCAGGAACTTGCTGTACTGGGTCAGTTCAAAGAGGAAAGGGTGATCTCTCACTCGCTTTGTATTCGTTCATTCCTTCAGGGAAATGTGAGATGACATTATGATGGGGGGGAAAAATAACACGGAGGTTAATTCTGTTGTGGATGAGAGTGTGCTTCACTGAGATACAACAGGATAATTCTGTGGGTCAAAGAGAAATTCACACACCCAGGACACCTCAGGGACTGTAATGTAAAACTCAAATTCAGAAAATGAGATGTGGAGCTGTGTGCCTGCATTAGAGCAGCACCTTGCACCTGCCAGCTCTTTGCGTGACCTGAAATGATAGCATCCAACACGCCTTCTCTGAAATGTAGCTTTGCAGGATTACAGAGAGCAAAATGCCGTTATACTTATTAGTCACTAAGGTCAGCATGTGTGACTTGCTCAGTAAGAGTTGGTGTTGGCATGGACATGGTATATGACAGCAGCAGTTAACAAGATAATGCAACCTTTTCTGCTGTGGGGTTGTGTGCTGCCAGAGCTTTGCAAATGTCCAATATAATCAACAATGGTACCTGATTTGTGCCTCAAGTCTCTTGCTGGCTTGATTAAAGCTCCAATCTAATTACATTAAACTCTAGGATCCATCGCTGCATCTCGTTACATTAGGGAAGTGCACTTTTAAAAATTCATCTATACAGTAGCTGATGACATATTTACAGTCTTGACTGCTACGTGATATCAGTAAAGTAACCTTAATGAGAGCAAAGTGTAATGAAAAGCAGCTTTGACTTGGCTGTTCCAGCAGTTCCTACCTTTACACTTTTTTTTCTGCCTGCTATGATTACTCTTAAGGCATATGAAACTATAGTTTGTGTCACAACCTTCTCTCCTCCCCCCAGACTCCCCCAAAAGTCCAAGCAAACAGACAAACAACAAAATAAACTGGCATCTTTCCTTGTGAGCTGAGCTAGCTCTTGACCTTTAGGTGTTGTGTTGTTGCATTCATTCAGAACACAGAATTACTAACTGAAATTTGTGCTTGTGTATTTCAGTTTTGATCTCTCTGTCCTCTGGGATGCCTAATCACAGTGCTAGCATCCAGGTACAACACTGGGTTTTGGTGGGGGTTATTTGTTCTGCTCTGCTGGGTTATGGTGGGGGTTATTTGTTCTGCTCTACTGTGTAATACCAAGTGCCGTGGAGAAATTGGATTGTTCCTCTGCCAAAAGTTAAAGCAATAGCTCCCTGAAGCACTCTCACTCACCTACAGACTGAAGCATTTCCTATATAAATTCTCTTATTTATTTTGCTCTAAAATGCAGATTCTTCTCATTTAGAGTTTTCCTGACTCTCTTACTCAGCTGCTACTATCAATACAATCATACAGAGGTTCCTTTTGTTTTGAAATCTGTTAATGCAACAAGACCCTCTTACTAGAAGCCCGGGTCTTGGTCAGAATGCTTCCTTGTGTATTGAATAAACTTTATGAAGAGTTATTTTAATTAAGACTTTTAAGGCTTGTAATAAGCATGACGGGATCTTTTTTCCAGCTTTGTGTTCAGAAGTTAAGGATATTGATAGAAGATTCTGACCAGAACTGTAAGTATGTTGCTTGTCTTCATGGAAGCTTTTAGCAACCAACCACTGGGGAGAAATTGCAGCAGTCTTAGAGCAACGAGCTGTTTCTCCAGACAGCTTGTTCAGTATTGTAGTGCCTGGTACGTTGTAAACAATTGCTGGATTTTTAAATGTGGAGATAATTTTTGATAGTGAGCACTTCTTACAATGAGCTTTTTTTAAAACAAATGAGGTTAATTATTACTACTGTTTGTGATCTTGTAAATCTAAAACACTTTTCTTTCCATGCTCTGGGTTTTCCCTTTTTATAAACTTTCTTCTTGGAAAGTAGTGGGGGGTATTCTGTAGTGTAAGTTATTTTTGTGACTGCAAAGAACACTGGGAAATCCTTTTTTGTGCAAACCTTTTTCCTGCCTTATGAATTTTTCCCGTTGATACAAGACTGCTACTTAATGTACCAGTCCTGTTAGTGCTTTTAAATCTGTGTTCATCCTAGGATGCCTGTTCTCAAAACCCATAATTTCTATATAAATCAATGATAAAACTTGAGGTACAAGATGACTGAAATGAAGAATATGTATGTAATTATGTGCCTGTATATGAGATTATGAAATTAAAGACCGTAATCTGTGATAAACCATTTCTCAAAAGTTCTCTTCTTCATCATAGATTTTTGAGTGTATTAAAGTTGGTTTCAGTAGAAGCACTCAGTATTAAGATTTCATGCGCAACACAAAACAGCGTTTCTATATTTGGAATGAAGTTTTATTTTGTCTTTCACAGTGAAGTACCTGGGACTGTTAGCTATGTCCAAAATCCTGAAAACGCATCCTAAATCAGTTCAATCTCACAAGGATCTCATTCTCCAATGTTTGGATGACAAAGATGAGTCTATCCGACTCAGAGCTTTAGATCTCCTGTATGGCATGGTATGTTTCTAATGTATTTCATTTCCTCTCCAGCCCCCGTGACCCTTTAGGAGGCTGATGTTTAAGAAAAACATGCAACTTTCTCTTCCCCTCTCCCCAGTAATCTTGTGATAATAACTCCCAAATCTTTTCTGGCACTTATGACAAGTCAAAGATCTGGCACAGCATGAGAGGGCTTTAAAAACTTTGATTCAGGAAAAAATGGAAGGAGTTTCTGAGTTTTCTGTGGAAGTCACCCAGAAGGCTGCTTTTCTAATGCCTAAGCCTTAGCTGCTCCTTCTGTCCTTAGTCTAGGTTTAAAGTGAACCATAGGTATCTTTGGATAGGACTGTGCAGTTCTGCGTTGCGGTCCATGTTGCAGCATGCCATAGCTCAGGTTGACGTAAGTTATGCAAAGTCTTAGGAGAAGGAAGTCTGAAGTCTTAGAGAAGCAGTCTGGAGCACTCTGAAACCACAGGAGAAGGCAGCTTTAAGCTACTTTGTCATCAGATTTGCCCTTCATTGTAAATTTTGTTATGCCTTTTAATGACATGTACAGAATCTCATTCTGTTTGGTCTCCTGTGTGCCACCAGTTTTGTGGATGCATTCTGCAGCTGTGCAGGGCAGTTTATAAAATGTGCATAGGCTACAGGGGCAATCTTGTAGTGACAATGTGTGGTCTCTGAAAGGGCTGTGGTTTATATAGTAAAGTGCCTTTCACTCAAGAGTCTGTGTCCCCCCATATATGCACAAAAGGGTAATGATAGATATGTCTCATAGCTTCCTATTTTAGAGGAGAAAGTGAAAAATAACCTTTTGTCTGGTACTCCTCATGAGATGAGAATAACTTCATTAAGTTTGATCAGGACAGTGGTTTTAATGTTGTTGCAAAGAGAATTGGAGTTCGTTCTTAGTTCCTGGAGGTTATGTCTTTAGTCAAAAGATAACCTAGGAGAAAGAGTCTACCATTTTGCTCAACCCTGCCTCTGAGGAAGAGTGCTGTGTAATAAATGATTGTAGAAATACTATTACATACATTTTTTGTTAGTGGTGTCTTTAACATGTACTTATTGAGAGATCATAGCTGGAAGCAGCAAGTTGCGACAACTGTTGATACTTACTGAATATTTTGGTTGCTTTGTGTAGACAAATAAGTTTCCAGAGCAAGTTAATACAGCTATGTTTTGAAATGCTAGAATTCTGTTGGCTGTTAATGACTCTTAAATTTGTTTTGTTTAGAAGCAGAAATGTTTTAAACTATTAAATACGCTACTCCGGCAGAAGTAGAAGATTCATTTTCTCCTGGATTTCTGTATTGCTGCTAGAAATTCTGATTCTCAGCTTTCCCACAGCATGGTCTTGTATACTTGTGCTGACTCTGCTTTAATAACAACATGGAAAAGAAATAAACGGGTTCCTTTCTCAGTTGTGACTGAAGCTGGGGCCTAGAGAGGTGGTTCTGATTTCTTGTTAACACATGACACAGGTCCATCAAAGAGCTAGCAGCTGCTTTAATGGAATTAGAAGTACGGGAAATGGCTTAGTTTTGGTTCAATCCTTCAATAACTCTTCAACAGGTATCGAAGAAGAACTTGATGGAGATAGTGAAGAAACTGATGATTCACGTGGATAAAGCAGAAGGGACGACATACCGGGATGAGCTGCTGACCAAAATCATAGATATTTGTAGTCAGTCCAATTATCAATATATCACAAACTTTGAATGGTCAGTGTTTTTATGTGTCAACTTTGAGATCATCAGCAATGGTAATGCATGATTGTCTGCTGGTAAAATTGCATCCCTTTCACTTTTTGTAGGTACATAAGCATCTTGGTGGAGCTGACCCGGTTGGAAGGCACACGACATGGGCACCTTATAGCAGCTCAGATGTTAGATGTAGCTATCAGAGTTAAAGCTATTCGTAAATTTGCAGTTTCTCAAATGGCCATGCTTCTGGACAATGCTCATCTCATAGCCAGCAACACCCAGAGAAATGGCATCTGTGAGGTGCTTTATGCTGCTGCTTGGATATGTGGGGAGTTCTCTGAGTAAGTGCAAACAGAAAGCCTGACACGCTTTGAGCGGCTTCTTTCGGGCAAAGATTCAGGTCACTGAAAAGTATTTTTGAGAGAAGGGTAGTTCAGAATATGCACCCTAAAGCTGACAAAATGATTGCTTCTTTCCCACTCCCTCATCCCATAAGACTTCTCAGCTGTTTCTAGCCAAGACAGGTGCTTCATTTTGAATATCTGGTCTTTTTTCTTATCTCTGTAGTCCTGCCCACTCATGCAGGAAGGCATAATTGTGGGTATAAGCAGTAAGATCTTAAGACATTGAAGGAACTCCTTAACCATTAAGGTCTAACCCCACTTACGTCATAGGGAAAATGTCCAATCACCATGTTTGACTGAATTAGTTTTTGCTCTCTTCCCTGTTTTGCCCTTATTGAAAGGTTTTTTCAGAACCTAATCTTTCTGAGGATTAGAAGTCATCTTTTTTGCTCAAAACTTATCTGTGCCCACAGTAGCACAATTTTCAATGTTCTTGTGCCAAGTGTCTTTTAGCTTAAATAGATGTTTTTGTCTCTTGGTTGTGTGTGCGTATACACATGCTTACCTAGCTTTCATTTTGGTAAGTTGGACAGACTATGATACTGTAGTCTCCTTTCGATCATCTGGTTTGGTGTCTCTTCTTGTAATTGCCACTCTGAACACTGGTTCCAGTTTAAATTCATATAGTAGATGTGATATTTTTAGGCAACACTGATACAACTCAGATCTTCGTTTAATTAAAAAAGTTCTGCAAAGAAAACTGTAGATTAAGAAGCAAGAGAACATATTCTCCTTTTTCAGTTTGATCACATTTTTAATTTGAAAGAACTTTAGCTTTCGATTCATAATGGACCAGTAACTTTTTTGTGCATCTTCTATTTAGTCATAAGCAGATAGTTTTGAATAAGAGCATGAGATTTATTAAAACAAGTGTTATGATCTGCATTCTTTTCTGTGTATTAAGCATTGCCTACTAGATTTTATTTTTGTTCAGTAAATGATTGGAAATACAACCTCATTGATGCGAGTGGTGAAGTACAGAATGGCAGGAAGGTAGGTGGGCTGCTAGATCCAGACTGTCAGTGGCCTTGGCACTTAAAAGTGCAATGCTTAGTTAATGGAGAGAATGCTGAACTTGTAAAGGTGGAAACTGAGGTGTCCCTCCCCTTCTGTAAAAGGGTAAAGCTGTAAATTCTTCTGTGCCGTGTTGTACTGTAATTTGGAAGGGGGAAATATGCAGAGAGCAAATTATTATGTATTCGTAGTCTGTCCTGTCTTTCTGCAGCACTTTGTACTGCAGCTGAGGTTTTTGAAAAATTCTTCTCCATGAAGACTGATGAAATGTTGAAATTTCTCAATTGCTGTCTTTCATCTGTCCACTCTATCTTTATAGACACCTTGAGGAAGCAAACCAAACTTTAGAAGCAATGTTGAGGCCTAAAGTTACAACTCTACCAGGCCACATCCAGGCAGTTTATGTCCAGAACATGGTGAAGCTCTATGCATCCATCCTGCAGCAGAAAGAGCAATCTGGGGAAAAGGAAGCAGCTCAGGAAATTACACAGCTGATGATTGAGCGTTTGCCTCAGTTTGTACAGAGTGCAGATCTAGAAGTTCAGGAGAGGGTAAGAGAACAAAATTACTTTGGAATTTATCATACAAAGTCTCTCATTTGTCTTGGAGCGTATATGTAATTTTCTGTGCACGTGCACATTTTATATAAGCCATTGTTATCAGTGGAGTGGTGCGTTTATTCTGCACTTTGTGTAACTCGGTGAAAGAGAAGCTCTAAAACTAGAGGACTGGGAAGAGTGGTGACATTTCATGTCGGAGCCCAGATCTTGTTCCAGTTCTATACCACCTCTGAAGACTGCTTGCAAGAATTTCACTCAAAACAATTTAATTTTAAAATTATGTAAGCACATAAGGACACAGCTAGAAGAGAGGGTTAGCGTGGATTTTTTTACATTTGCTCTAAACCTGCAGTTATGCAGCTTCCCTTAATTCCCTTAGTGGAGCAGAACAGTTGTCTTCTGCTGACATTCATTGCAGTTGATTTTTTTGGTTTAGTTTGTTAATATTACTGAAACTACTCCTGCATTTGTCTTTAGGCTTCTTGCATCCTTCAGCTAATAAAATATATTCAGAAGCTACAAATAAAAGAAGTACCTGTAGCTGAGGAAGTAATAGCCCTGTTTGCTGGTGAGCTGAACCCTGTGGCTCCTAAAGCACAGAAGAAAGTACCAGTTCCAGAGGGGTAAGGTTCCTTCTCTCTCCCAAAGCCTTATTTAAACTTTTAAACTCTTAAATAGTAAAGCTAAGTATATGATGAGAAACACTGAAATACTCAGGGGTACTGAGTCAAGCTATTTATTTGTTTACTGCAATTCTTACCAGCTTGGACCTTGATGCCTGGATCAATGAACCTCCATCAGACAGTGAGTCTGAAGATGAAAAGCCCAAAACAATTTTTCATGATGAGGAACAAAGGCATTCCAGACATAGACAGCCAGAAATAGATGAAGAGGAACTGGCCAGAGTTTTCCCTACATAATTCAGTAGTAGTGTTGTAAATGCTACTAAAGCAGTTGGAGCTGCTGTGGATTCTCCGTGTAGCCAGGGGGGCATTCGGCTCTCTACAGCTCAGGAAATCTGATGATTTGATGTGAACAAAATACATGTATTTGAATACAGATGTTTTTTAGGTGTTGTGGAATACATCCAATATAAAATTCTTTTGGAAGTCTAGCTTGCCTATCTTGTCCAAATGCAAGCAAGATACTATAAAAACTTGGCCCTTGCTAGGAGTTTTGAGCTCTTGTAAAAATCTGATCTGGTGTCTAGTGCAGTTCACTTTGAAGTACAGGGTCTTGAGGATGGACACTTGTGCTGAGCTCTGTAATTATTTGGTTTTTTACACACCACCTCCATTGGTGTACTTCTGTTATTCTGTGTGCTCTATATCAACAGAAAAAGAAGCAGCATCTTTGCTCATGGACTTTAGCAGCTTCTATGAATTACTGTATTGTGACTGTTCTCAGTAGTGATACCATCTTTCTTGCTTCTGACCTTTTTGTTTTTGTAGAGAAAACTTTTTATTGTTAAGAATCTTCACATCTTCCTCTCTTTGCAAAAATGAAAATAGAAACATTTGAATTGCCATCAACATCTGGTCTTCAGAATTTACTTTCTCTAGTCTAGAATTAAAAAGCAAGGAAAGGCTGTTCTAAGGAATATTAGTTATAATAGTAACAGTACTTGTAATTATATTCTAGTATGTCTTGTAGCTCAAAACTGGTTTATCATACTCAAGCCTAGTATGCTGTAGTCTTTTTGCAAGTAGTTATGCATTGTTCCAAAAATTCAGGGAGATTGCATTTGGCACTTTGATGCCTTTTATCTCTCTTTGCTCATAAACAAACATTCTAACTACAAATACTCTTTTGCTTTCAGCGTCGAGAAGCCCGGAAACAAGAACAGGCAAACAACCCGTTTTATATTAAAAGCTCTCCTTCCCCGCAGAAGGTGAGTGAGTCTGAATTAAAATCTCTTGCTGTGTGAAGGCCTACTGAATGTCAGAGCTGCAGCTTCCCTCTGGGACATTCTGATTATTTCCACTGCAGTTCTGATCACTTAATAGTGTGCCGATTGGAGTGGCTACCTACAACTATTTTTGTAAGTCTTGTTTGTGTTGAGAAACTCACAAATGACCTAATCTCACAAGAGCAGCGAGCTTTCTGTGAATCTCTGGTGGACCTCCAGTTGAGAAATAGGAAAGTGGTAGTTGTCACAGCTCCCATTACAGAGTAGTTTGGAAAAATCTGGATTAACTTGTCATGGAAAGCTCAGTGTTTATATTTCAGCAAGGACTCTAAAAGCTGTGGAGAAACACTTCTCTCTGCCCTTGTGTCACAAATTCCTGTGCAGGTAGTTTGTCCCAAATCTGGGTGATGGAAGGGTTCAGATTGCCAGGCACTTCATTAAGAGCAACGAAGAGAGATTGAAGCTCGAACATGCTCCTCTTGAACATGCAGTGTGTTTTTTACGGATCAAAAGGTCATTGTGGTCTCTTCTTAACACCATTTTCAGGGAAGGAACCTGCTTTATTCCCTGTATATCCTAAGGACTGCCCCATTTTCCTCAACTCAAATCTCAAAATTTATCTTTTGAGGTGGCAAGTTATTAGCAATAAAACACAAACCAAAAATTCTTCAGAGAGTTGCAACAAGCCTTCTTCAGGGCAGTAGCAGGGTTAAAAAACTGTAGCTAAAAGTAGGGTATTTTATAATAGTTATCAGCTGGCTTTAAAATACACTCTGCTACTACACAGGATTTAGTACTGAGCTATTCCATTCCTATCCATTAAAATGTTCACTTAAAGGATTAAACTGCTTGATGTTTTGAAATGTGTCTATTTATACAGATTTGTATCTGGCAATGCTCAGAATGTAAAAAATTTTCATTTTCCCAGCGATACCAAGACACTCCAGGTGTGGAACATATACCTGTGGTCCAGATCGACCTTTCTGTCCCCTTAAAAGTCCCAGGTAAGTGCAGCTAATCTTTAAAATTAGTTACAGAAATTCAGTTAAGCAAAAGTAATAATGTCTTCTTAGGAATTCCTCCTTAGGTTTTTCAGGGCAAGGAGCATACTTTCATTAGACTCTTAAATATGTCTCCTTAACTTACATGTGTTTGAGAACAGTACTTTGCAGTCCGAGTGCAGTTCCTCTCAAGACAGTATTAGAAGTAATACTGTGCAGCCAAGTCTGTAACATGTAAACTAACCGCTGTTGCGTGTAGGTAACGGTCACCTTTGGAATGTCTCAAAGGGCTGATGCAGGTGATCAGGAGACATTAAGTGGAGTCTAATGGTAGAGATACTGTTCTAATATCTTGTTTCAAAAATCGAAAGGTAGTTGTATATCTAATGAGTGGTTTGATATAGCACTGAAAAGCTGTTGATAAAGTGCAGTACATTGCAAGTGATGAGTTCTAAGTGCGAATATTTTAAAAAAAAAAATTTTTTCCAAAAGTGTGGAAAGTTGTCAGTATTAATACAGCAGTGACACCAATTCTACTTAAAATATCGATGTTTAGAGGCTCTTTGTAATCCAGTTAATGTGGACAAGAATCAGGGAGCAGGGTAGAGCTCTGTCCTATTTCTGGAGAGATGGAGTGTGATAGTAAAGCTGGTGCTAGAGGGGCCGTACGTGAGATGATACGGAAGCATAGAGAGTTGTTGATTCCTTCTAATTCTGAGAAGCTAGAAGCAAGGTTCACTCCTAACATATTGTTGCAGTGATCACTGTCCATGTGGACTGTAGCCTGAAAG